CCGTTGTGTCAATTAGGAGGAAGCAGCAATCAAGCTCTCTCTGTGTGTCCTTGCCTAAATGTGGCCCTTTAGAGAGTATCTAGTCATCTTAGTGCCTTCGCAACTTTATGAACATGACAGGCCTACTGTACAAAGGACTGCTTAAGCATTGCCACCTGCATAAGTTCTGCAGTTGCGATGTCAGACTTCAAGGGCAGGTGATTGGCTATCTCTCGAGCTATTATTGTAAGGAGATTGCCAGATCCTGATCCAGCCTTGCACATTCTAACGGGCCACCTAATCGTTAATCTCTCCCACTTCTATACTTAATAATAACCTAGAGCGTACAGGACGAAGGCCTCCCATGAAACCTCTGCTCATTAACTTTGGTTGTTTTTCATGTGACTGATAAACGCCAAACTCCATCGGTACTCGTTTCCATCCAACATGCCCCTTACTAGTCTCGCCCCAGATAACTGAATCCGGTATTCGCCTGTGGCTATATTTATTAGGATCCACCACCGACGCCGCAGGTTGACGCCGTGGAGTCTGCTAGGGTGCTGAGCTCTATCTTCGTCCGTCCACGGCACACTTTTGGGTCAGGACAGGACTAGCTTACTATGCCAGCCTTATTATCACTAGTATGGGACTGTCACCTCGGCGGTGATCTGTTGTCTAGAAGAGACCCTAGCTTACGTACAAATGAATGGAAGTATAGCTCTTTCACTACTGAAAAAGTGGCCAAATGTTGAATAACATGAGGTATTACCACATCTCTTGAGCCTCTCTTTACGTGCATAAAAAATGGATTTAGCTTGTCTCCCGTTCTAATCTTCTAGATTCTCTATATATGGGATCAGATTCCTTTTTTTATCATTAGAACAAATTTGGTCGACCATTTAATATTTTCAGGGGTTGGTTTTTCCCAACGTTAAGTCTCGCGATCTCCCGCCGGCGTCTGATCCTGCTATTCAGACTCGAACACCTGCGGGGAGTGAACATAAATCCCAGGCCAGAACTCGATCATATAGCTTCAATAAGGCAGCGGATCTAGTTATTGCACACACCTAGGTCTCATACGCTCTGTCAAAGTAAGCCCTCCACTTGCTAAGATGTTAACATATTGAAATTCTCTAATCAGTGTGAAGTCTTATCCATTTTCGAGGAGAGAATAGACACATGGCCACAGGCTGCTCGATGGAAGGATGAGCTCAGTAGTATTCGGTACTGTCCAGCCAGTTCCGATGAGAAAAAAGCACAGACACAGGGTTGTAAAGTTAACCAACTTGATAGGTCAATGAGATCAGGCATCGAGACGGCACATCTATCGCCAACAGCTACAACTCAATCTTCGACTTCGACTCAAGAGATGGCATCATCAAAAAGCCATTCAAGTCATCTTGTCCCATTTTCCTGCAGGGATGACCTAAGGCATCTGTACCAAGGCTGTCCCTATCCTCAGGCTAACGGCCTCCCCCAATCTCGTACCCTTAGCCAGGGCCCATCACATACAATGAATAGCCAAGAATACGACACTGCCAACCAGATTGACGACCACATCTTCGGCGACCCCTACAGCGCGCACCCTCTGACTTCCACAACACCGGCGCATGACCATAGCTACACGGACGCCCAGATTTCGATCTTCGGACCTCAATGAGTCCCTCTACATCCCGGTCCCTCCGATGTTGCAGTACCAAAATATAGGGTTTTTGAGAGCGGTGTACCTGTCCAGCTTGTACATTCTCGGGATTAGGCAGCCTGGCCGCTGGGTCGGCGTTTTGTGGGTGGATATACTTAGACTCAAATAATGACTAGGGTTGCCGATTAGAAACCATAATAGTATCGTTTGGCCTTTTTGTCCCATGGTGGGAAAAAGCATGTATGCTGAAAGGAGTCGAATTCTGGATTTGCCAAATACTAGGCCCAGTTGCACAAATATTGCTACACTGCCATAAGCTGGCTGCCGGAGGACTAGACTAGAAATCAATTCACAAAATTTAGGGCAGGGCATTAGAGATATGGCTCAATTAATCTTTATGCTGATTAAGAAGAGGGGGGATATTGCTCACTGATTTGCAGTATGGGAAAATAATCCACCAATGGTCAATACACAACTAGCCTGCACCGGGCTACCCAAGCTTGGCGGGTCTTCGCCGCGCGACATCCGTCTGGGGGATGTACTCGTTGCGCTACCTGATGGTGACAGTGCTAGGCTGGTTGCGTACGACCTAGGCAAAGAGACGGAAGACGGCTTCCAGTTGCTGAGGGGCGGGCATGTTCTAGCAGTGACGGAGACGGTGGTGAGAGCAGCGATTGGAAATATACAACTTCGAGCGCCAGACGATGTTAACCTTGTTCTGCCTTACTATGAAGCGATCAAGGACAAGAGACACCAAACTGGCACATTTAGCGACCCTGGGCAAGATTTGGACCAACTGTTATTAAACGATAATACGAAGGCGATAACGGTAGAGCAACGAGAGCACCGACCGGACGATCAACGGACGCGTATCTGGTACGGCCTGATCGGGTCCGGTGAGAAGCTCTTGAAGAATGCAAAGAAGCGGGACGAGCTGAGAGACCGGTATAACTTGATCGGGATAGAGATGGAGGCGGCGGGCGCAACGGTATCGATTCCGGTGGGGGTGATCCGTGGAGTGTGCGACTATGGCGATGAGCGTAAGAACGAGGAATGGCAAACATATGCGGCGGCGATGGCGGCGGCATATGCGAAAGCCGTTCTGGCGCAGATTGGGCCGCGTAGTCCAGCCATTGGTTAGTCAGAGTTTCGAGGAGAAGAAAGCAGCTGCTGAGAAATCCTTAGTCTATCACATCCCGTACAGACGCAACAGAAACTTTAGTGGACGGGAAGTCCAAATCAACGACCTGAAACGCATGATCTTCATCGAGGGGAGAGAGCGAGTAGCGATCGTAGGGCTGGGAGGGATGGGCAAGACGCAAATCGCGCTCGAGCTCGCGTATCGTGTTCAAGAGGTAGCTGTGGATAGTGTGGAGGAGCAACATTCGGTGTTTTGGATGCCGGCGCAGAGCTTGGCTGCTTTCCAGCAGGCGGCGATAGAGGTCATGCAGAAGCTCAACCTTGGCGTGAGCGACAGCGACAATACGAAAGAGGCTTTTCGACTGTATCTTTCGTCAAAAACTGCTGGTTAGTGGCTGCTTATACTGGATAACCTGGACGACACGGCCGTGCTAGATGGCGAGTCGGACCAATCGGATAGCCTCCGCGACTTTCTACCACGGAGCCGGACAGGCAGGACACTCATTACGACGCGGTCAGCTCAGATCGGCGAAGATATGGCAGGCAGCGACGTGATCGAACTCGAAGCAATGTCACCTGGAGAGGCGCGGGCACTTCTCGAAAAATCACTAGAGAGGAAACTTGGAGCCGAGGATGGACAGATGACTGCGGACCTCCTAGAAAGACTCACATATCTACCTCTGACAATAGGGCAAGCCGCGGCATACATGAATCGGCGGCGGCTGGCTCTCGCAGCGTACTTGCGACTCTGGACATCAGCGGATGAGGGTATTATCACGTTGCTTCGCAAACCGCTGCCCGACGAGACACACCACAGCAGGACACAGGGTGCGGTGGCAACGACGTGGAAAGTATCCTTCGAGGCTATCCGCAAAGAGAATGCAGGTGCGGCTCACCTTCTGTCATTTATCCAATGGATGAACTTTAAGGCTATTCCGAGAAGGATGCTGCCAGCATCGGGGTCGGAGATGGATATGGTGGAGTCGATTGGGACGATTTGCCAGTATGGATTTATGAGTTGGCGAGAAGATGGGGAGACACTAGACATGCACCAGTTGGTGCATCTGGTTTTACGGCAATGGTTCAAGCAAGGAAATGAAGGATTTATGGCGGAGGAGGATGCGGGAGGGCATCTGTCGGCAATATTCCCGCCAAGTGATTGGGAGAATCGACTGGTGTGGCGGCAGTACCTACCGCATGTCCTGGTTCTAGTGAAAGAAGAGATGTTAACAAAAGACGAAAGGATAGTCACTCTTTGGCATCGGGCTGGACTGTGTTTAGAAGTGGATGGCCGGACGAAAGAAAGGCTCAAGGTGCTTGAACAGGTTGTGGCTATTAGGGAGAAGGCATTGGCGGAGGATCACCCAAATCGACTCTCTTCGCAGCACGCGCTCGCACTCGCCTACCGAGCTAATGGCCAGGTGAAGGAGGCGGTCCAGATGCTGGAACAGGTTGTGGCTATTGAGGAGAAGACATTGGCGGAGGATCACCCAGATCGACTGGTTTCTCAACGCGCACTTGCGTCTGTGCGACAAGTTGCAAGCTCAGTCAACACTCCTGAGCATGAGAAGCCTAGCAGACATCATAGATTCAGATGGTGGAAGAACTAGCAACATGCACCTCAGGGGTTAACTGTTCAGCATGATGTTAGCACAACTTGGTCCTATGCTACAATATTCTATAGCCGCAAAATGGGGTCGAAATAAGAGGTCTCATTTGCAGTCAGGATTAGATTTTGTCGGTTGTCTTGCTTTAAGGCTATGATAGCTACGTTCGAATTGTTCATAGTTGGACCCTATGAAATCAGCACACACGCTTAGCGATATCCCAAAGTGGACGTACGGAAACACCGCACGTCTAGGAAGGTAGAGATACAGTGCGCTGAGTACCATGATTGTACCGTGTTGCGACCCCACCGACCAAATCAGTAAACAGCTTTCAATCAACCCAGCGGACGCTGAACCTGAACCGGCCCATGTCGATCGCTTAGTTAACCTTCTGCCACGACCTAGGTAGAGAAGATAATAAGGATTATTTATTATAAGGGGAATAGCTATAAAAGTAACAAGGTTTAAGGTATAAGATAGTAGCGACATGAATTTTATGCGATATAATATTAATTGAGGGCGGCAAGGAATAGAGTTGATGGACACCATCGTGATACAGGATATATAACCTTGTTGGACTTGAGCTACTTAGATCCCTTCACGAGTGTTTGTTATCAAGCTTGTTTTGTCATGCGAACAAGTCCAGTCCATTCATTGTTCTCTGTCTGACATTACCAAGACTTCCAACCTAGCTTCAGCGCGTCATCCGTGGCTTCATCGGCCTTTTGCTCCCAGTGTGAACATATTCTCCTGTACATCCACTCCTTAACCCCCTGCTCATAGACTTCTCTGGCTTTCTTCCGTGTTACGTGAACAGGGTGTTCCATCGGGTCGAACTTGCGAACTTCATCTTCTCCCCATGCGTCTTCCTGATCGATGGGGTCAAACGTGACGATATCTATCTCACGCGCCGCACCATCGGCACCTCGGCAATCAATATTTGCATGTGGATACACGAAAAACCAGCCGCGGTATATCACAGAAGAGCAATCGTGATCGTGTTTAGGCCAGACTAAGCCAGGAAGTTGTTGATTGTGGGAAGTTGCTTCTTCATCAGAAGGGGACTCGGATGTCGTGGAGCCCAGACCAGAACCGGACTCCTCTACCGGATCATCCTCCACTGGTTGGGGGGTTTTCTGCTTCTCGAGCTCCATGGCTCTCTTGACCTTGCGGATGTGGCGCCATATGGTGCCTCGAGCCTTTAGCTCCCCACGGTAGTGCTCATGGCATTCTTCAGTCGTGGCACCTGGGAGGAAGATGAACTCTCACCGAAACCTGCCACCCCTCACATGGGGCTCACCATCCTCAAGACCATGCTGGAATACGCACCCGTCAAAGTCAAGCGGCACATCTGGATGGACCATATAGAAGACCCAGGAGGCAAGGGGAGGCAAGGGACAGACCCCCGAGCTCTCCCATGACATCAAGGCTGGTCTGCCGGTGTGATCGTTGAAGATGCGGTTGTTGGATACTAGTGGGAGTTTGGGTGGCAAGCGAATCTGAGGTGGGCCGTTGGGGTACTTGTCCTTGGGGTACCTCTCTTCTAGGGTCCTGGGCCGCGTCTTTGTTCGGACCATGCTGGGCTCGAGATATGATGTCAAGACCTGACTGAGACTCTGTAAATTGGATGGTGTAGACGTGGCCGAGTTAAAAGGATGGAGGGCAGGATGAGAGGAGGTGAGTTGAGGAGGAATTATTATTCCCCACTATGTGCACATGGCCGCTCGGGCCTCGATCGGGAGCGGCGTGATCCATGCGATGGAGTAGCGTGCTGGGTCTAGGGCCATGGTCGTCAGAATGTGGATCGCCAGGTTTGAGGGATGCGGGGCGGCCATGGTCCAGCATCTATCATCTCGACAGGCGGGAAGAGGGCTCTTAATAGTCACGTGATTAAACTCACTTACACGGTTCTAAAATCCACCATCAGAAAGAGCTGTCTTTCGCGCTCCAAAACTGGCAGGAAGGGTGGGAAAAGGAAACCAGAGAGAGAACAACCTTCCGCCATACCAATAAGCCTACAAGGAAAGTCCTGCAACTTCATGACCAGCTGAGTAAACGACAAAGCTCCATTCTTACCCAACTCCGAACAGAGAAGATTGGCCTCAAGGACTTCTTATTCAACCGACATGTCCCGGGTGTTACAGACCCCAAATGCGACTGCGGAGCAAGGTGGCAAACCGTAATGCATGTCCTGCTACAATGCCGAAAATACCAGCGCCTTCGACGACAACTACTGGGGCCATTCCCAGGAAGTCTTCGGAGAATAGTTAACGGACGCAAATCAGCCGTCAAAGCTATCAAATTCATGGAACAAACGCAGATCCTCGGGCAATTCAGGATCGATGCCTAACTAGACGAAGCCCTGCACTGGGGGGAGACTGGAGGTATATTGGACGCAAAAATGAGGAAACCGCCTCGTAGGAACCTAAGAACGCATATACATTAATATTAGAACCACTATCCACACAAGCTGGTAAGTGGATGTAGATAGAGGTTGAAGAGGAAGAAGCGAGATTTTGGAGACAGCTGGCTATGTTGGCATAACGTGGCGAAGTGGGGCGTCACGGATTATCTGCGGCGCTTCGGCTGTTTGCCGGACCTCGCTTACCGGGCATAGCTGCTTAACTGCATAGCGGCTAAAACCGAGTAGGATTTAATCAATCAATCAATCAAAGAGCTGTCTCTTTGAATCACCACTATCGATTTGGAAGATCAATTGGATAGAAAGTGGCTATGTTACCGCCGGATAACCGGCCTTGCTACTTGACTTATAGCCCAGCTAGGATCCCTTTAGCGTCTTATAGCGCATGGCGTCCTTCGCAACTTTGGACAAAGTAGCCTATAATTCTCTCTTTAATTTTACACACTTCTCGTTGTTTCCTTAAACATTCCGTTCTTTTGCTAAACAAACAATTTCTCGTCATCCAGCCGCCATAAAAGATGCGTGCTCGATTTTCACAGCGCAATTTCTTTAGCTCTTTGCCGCATGCTCAAGGTCCCGCTCGAAAGAGTCATCCTGGCCAATTTAACCCCTGAATTAGGGAAAAGAAACCTAAATGGAGCCAAATTGGTAAATTGGCTGAGATAAACTATAGATGTAGCGCGTCCGGGATGGCTGTACGGCCATATTCTGGTGGTGTGCACACATCGGAACGGTTCTATAGTCAGCAGTTAGTGGCGGAGCCGGAGCTAAACTTGAAAGATATCCACCCGAACGTGTACTCATAATCGGTGTAGATGAGATGCACTGGCAGCTATTCCAGCTGGAACTTCGTTTTCTTAAAATGAGGCCTATTAAAAAATGGAAAGATCTAAAACTTATCACTAACTGGCTGCCGCTACATGATACGAAATAGAGGTATAAACTACGAAATTATGGGCCGGCATGTGGATCGGTCCGATAAGGCAGACCTTAAGCTCAAGTGTCTCCTTTGCCAGCCAGAAGGATACGAATATAGTGAAGAGAATCGTATATACAAGAAATTTACGTTATTGATCGCTTATGGTTCATGTAGTGATTACAGTACATACACGAATATTAAATTGGAAAAAATAATCAACTATAACTTATCCAACCTATCTACTCTTACGCAGAAACATTGGAAACGCCTTCTAATAAAAGTATTTCCTAACTTCGTTTGAAGAATTTATTCATTGTATCTAATTCTAGTTACTTCCTCCAGAGTAGTAGTAACTTGAAAATGGACATAGACCCCCCTTCCTGTCTAATCAGTACAAAATTATCACAATATAATCCCTCCTAAAAAACACCTATATATTAACCCCTAAACAAAGCGCGAAGTAATATGCTCCCGCTTTAGGAAAGGGCCATGCAATCGATCTAGGAACGAAAAAAGCTTATCACGAATTATATGGCGAGGGGTATATAATTAGGCATAAGTGAAGGCTATTAATGATGAACATCTTTGTTCGGCTGACAGTTATTTTAAGCAGAGAAGGACGGCAAAGTTGCTACATACATAATCAATATAGAGTTAGAGAACATAATAAGTTGTAGTAAGCAGTGAATGCTAGGTGCATGAGTCAAGGTTTATTGATAGCTGGGGAGTAATCAATCCATTCAATTAATAACTGTGATACATATACGTGATAGGGTGACCAGCCTTCTTCCTCTGGTGCTCAGTCTGAGCAAGCGATGCTCAGTACTGATCACTTGTCTTGCAACTAAGCATGCTCTAATTGGTCCGGCACAACCACGCTAGGGTAACTTGCTAGCCTAATACGCGGAGGACGCGGTTGGTGTATGACATTCCGTTTTGACGTTAGGCGGTATCTTCCCTGTAGCAGTATACCCGCTGATACCATACCATTGTAGTATTTAGGTACTCCACAGGACCCAAAATTGCCGTACGATCCCCTTTTGATGACGCTACAAGCAACGATAGGCACAGAGGCCGGGACTGCCTCTGCTGAGTCTGGTGGCTGCAAACGGGAGCATAAGTACGTGGTACCTAACACAGTCCAGAAACCAGGAGGAGGCGAGCTGACACGAGCCAGTTACCTAGACTTTGGTCGCAGTCCCGGAAGCAGGACGCAGGAGTTCAACCGTCAGGCAGCAAATAAGCGCAACGAATACGCAAACAAAGCGCAAAGGAGACGTGAATAAAGCGCTAAGGATACGCAAACAAAGAAGAAAGAAATGGTTGAAAGAGAGCGCGAGTGTAAAGAAAGCAAAGAATGCGCAAAGAATGTGCAAGGAAGGTGCAGGAATGAGCACAGAAAGCGAGCACAAAGAAAAGGCAAAGAAAAGAGCACTAAAGAGCTATATGTATCACAGTACAGAAACCATATCTAATCGCTGACACTGCAACATCTGCAATTCCTCACCCCCAACACAACAAAACAGGGAGTTGCACGCTAATCCATCCATCGCTCTAAACGCTGCTTTACTTCCAACGCCATTATACCGGTGTCGCAAGCTTGCCCAGATCTGATTGCCGACTCCGCTGCCTGCGCAAGGTCCTTACAGGCGGTGATGAGTTTGGAAGGGGCAACATGCTCAATGTGGGACGCTATCATTCCCAGCATTGGCACGCCGAAGCCCGAAGACCTATCTCTGTGATAAAAATTAGCCTCGATCAGACGCTAGAACGTGTGGTACGCACGCGAGGGATTCGGCCGCGTTTGAGTAGAGAATGAGAAAGAATGGCGGTTCCACTGCAAGCTCCCTCAGACGCCTGGCAAATCGTGTACGCTCATAGAGCACGCCCATCGTCATTAGCTGATCTTGTGCACTCATGTAGATTTTCATGACAATACTCGAAACCCCATAGCCACGCTTCAACTGGACCCGCCCTTGTCGATAGTCCGAGCTAACGATCTGCTTGACAGTCTCCAGCAAGTATAGCATCTGGATAGCAGCAAGTCTTCGCACTAGTATTGAATTCGCTTGGCCGTACAGGATGTTATCTAGGTATTTAAAGGCTGTAACAACCCGGGGATCCGAACTAGTGATGTTCTCGGGCAGCATGGTCGCTCTAAGTATAGAAAGCCACTCTAGTAGCGCGATCTCGCAATGCTTAACAAAGAATTTCAACGGATGGCGTCTGATTAGTCTACAGGAAATCTCCTTGACGAGTTCCGGGCTTCTTTCTTCACTATACGCCCTAGCGAGGTGTCGCATACTTAACTGCTTATACTTCGACCTTGTCCTCGCTGCTTTCCCGAGAGCGCGTTTGCGTCGCCCAAGCTTCTCCTTGCCGCGGGGTTCTGCGTTGGTTATATCTTCCTCATCAATATCCATGGCGGCGTAGACGGCATTGAGTGTTTCGCTCTGCATGGCCGTCTAAGAAGTTTGCGTCGTATGGAATAACTAGGCGAGACCCTGGATATCACAAAGCGTTGAGGTCCTGTCATCGGAAGTAATGAGATATATCTATAGCTATGAAGCGTAATCCAAAGAACTAGCACCAAAGCGATCGAGCCGCAAGCCGGGACCGTGGTCGGTGTTGGATGACGCCACGTATTTCAGGTGGGACCCCGCTGAGGCTCTTGGAGCTTAGCGACAGCCTGTCCCTGGAACTAAGGCACGAAACGGCCTGAGCAGCAAGCTATCGCACCTGAGCAGCGTCTCAAGCCGCTTGTTGGCTAGACGAAAGGTAAAACGGGATGAAATAAAATAAAATAAAATAAAATAAAATAAAATAAAATAAAATAAAATAAAATAAAATAAAATAAAATAAAATAAAATAAAATAAAATAAAATAAAATAAAATAAAATAAAATAAAATAAAATAAAATAAAATAAAATAAAATAAAATAAAATAAAATAAAATAAAATAAAATAAAATAAAATAAAATAAAATAAAAATAAAAATAAAAATAAAAATAAAGTAAAGGACACTCGCAGATGCCACCTGCCTTCAACCAGGCGCCTGGAATGCTAGCGCCTCATGCCGAATGGCATTGGCTGATCCAGAACCGGGCTCCTGGCTCGGCCTCAAGGCCCAAATACTGGGCCTGCATTTCTGTTTGCTTAGACAGGAGACCGGTCCCTGAAGGAGGACCGCCAATGCCTTTTCGGAACGAGTTAAGAGCTTGGGAAGTAAGGCGCTTGCCTTGTGAAAGGAAAGAATGAGTCTGATAAATGAGCCTGATACGAGTGCTTGTATCGCGTAATGACCTTAGGGCTATAAGTTGTAGCTGTGTCTGAAGGAAAAAGAAGAAAAAAGCGTGAGTGGGCGTGGGCACTTAGGCACGGGCTTTCCTAGGCGACTGGGGGACGTTTGCTAGGTGGCTATAGGGGCTGATGGCGTCAGCGTGTGACTTTTTTTTCCCCGGCCTTGCGTACAGGCGCTAGCTTACGGCTAAGACCCCGCGTTCTACTTTCTTGTATCCTTAGTTGTCAGAAGTCGTCGAAACCGTCAAGACCGCTGCCAAAGATCTCAAGGATAAGATTGTCAACAACTGGGATGGAACTCTCAAAATCGTCAACACTGCCATGGGCGTCGCCACCGGCGTGACTGTCATCAAGGCCATGAACAGCAAGCCCAAGCGTGGCCTTGAGGACATGGAGGAGCGCGACTACGAAGGAATCGAAGTGCGTGACACCGAAGAGCTTGACGAGCGTGACATTGAAGAACTTAATGCGCGTGACATTGAAGAGCATGTCACGCGCATCAAGCTCTTCAATGTTACGCGTTTTTTAATGAATTTAATATTGGGATTACAATCTAAATTTCAATCGTGAAAGGCGTGTAATTGCAAATAGTAGACGTTTGTTTTTCACAATACTTTGAGAGACATGACTGCCATCGCGAAAGTGCCATAGACTTCTCCATCCAACCCTTCCATCCGCTAGCCAACTTCCTTCGACGGAACCGATGCACGGGGAGACATGTGACGCCAGGACCATAGCTTGGGGAAGGGGGTGTTGTAAAAAAAATCAGGATTATAACAGTGAGCAAGAAAACTTCAGCACAACATGTTGCTAACTAACAGCACAACCACTTTAGAATGTGAAATTGAACTCTGCATTCGATGGATTGCGATATCGTCCATCTTACATCCTAAGATGTCTGTACTCGCCTGGTAGGTACCAAGGTTGGAAAAGAACACTGTCTTCGGGAGGGTCCAGGTCCATATTGGGTTCGCCAAAACGGCACATGTGTACTCGGCCAAGCTCTCGATGTCCAAGCTGGACCCAGTACCCTTGCGAGTATCCCATTTCATCTTTCCGAACCCTCCAATGGCGCTCTTGCCAACCACCGAGATGGACCTGGTAGACCACAGTGTCTACCGCGTCTACGGCCCGCTTTCTTCTCCGTTCATACTCCAGGCTACTGAGAGCGATTGTGCAATCATCCAGCTGCCTGAGCTTACCCACCATTGCATCAATGGGTGCCATCACCTCTCTGTCTGTGATTTCGATGGATTCAGCGTCATCCATGTACACTCGACGCCCATTGCGATCGGTCATAGGTGTAATGTCCCCATGCAAAGCCATATAGAATGATCTAACGTTTGGGAAAATGGCGGGGATCTTCGCCAAAAATTCGTAGAACGTAGGCAGATCATCGAGCGGGCCCTGCGGTGAGTGTGCCCTGTACGGCTTGAAAAACCAGACCAACTCGACGGATCTGATATTGGCAAGTCTTTGGGGAAGAAGCAGCTTGTCCAAGTGCAGGAGCATCTGTTTGCTGGCCGAGTGGATGGTATTTGTGCCATATAACACGTCAATACCTTCCAAGTATCTATAATTTTCAAAAGTCAGTCGTGCCCCCCCTTGGTCTGGATTATGAGGTGCTGGGAGGAACTTGCGCTTTTCGACAGCTCAGGAGCCATCCCATTGCTCCGACCGAACACTTGTGGGGACTTTCGCCAGGCCAAAGCTGGCAGAAGTAGCCTTCGACGCCACCAAAGCGGCAGCGATCTTCTGCTGCATTGATCGCGCTGTCTTGATACCTGGGCTGAATCTTGCTTCTGCTGTTCCATGGAGGGTTTCGATGACAGTCGGAACTGCGCCAGATCCATCTCTTGGGCATAGCATAATTCACGTTGTAACGGAGTGTTTCTTGTCTATGCTCCAATGTTGTATCTCGATTGCGATTCCCGTGGTTGGACACGTGACGGAAAGAGTCGTCAAGCTGATCTAGTGGCAGTTCTGGATAGTCAAAGGACAAGTCCATGTGCACAGTGTGCCCGCCAAATGCTTCGACAAGGATCTGACGACGGATCTCGAAGGGCAAGTTTCGGAAGAAGCCAGATTGAGCCGTGGCGTCTTCCGCAGATGCACAAAGGTCGTCTCTCGATGATGAAGGTGTGAGAAGTCGAGGTCTCTCGGCGGGTAAAGCTGGCACCGCTTCTGAAGTTTCGGGAATATATGGAGCGAACACCTCTCCAGGCGCAGGCGGGGCAGGTTGTTGAGTCTCAGCATTTCGTTCAGCTCCTCGGTGGATTCGCCGTCGGAACCATCTTCCCAAGGATGCTCTCATGCCGGAGATTAATCACGGGAGCAGGCGATGTTATTGTTTGGTGTTCGATCGTGCAGTGAAACAAGCGTAATGTGGGGGTTTGGCTGGCGGGGAGGATGTCTGCGTAAGTGAGTTGTGCTCAAACGAAGGCGCTGTCGTATATCTCTCCTACTAGTCTCTGTTGGGCCCGTTGGAGGATGAGGCATGAAATTAGGATGCAAACTTGGATTTGTTATTTACGCGTAAGCCTTATCGATAAGAGGGCTAGCAGCAACCGCGCTCAATCAGAGTGGGTACTCGAAGTGAGATACTGGTTTATGAGGCGTCAGCGAATTCATATCCATACGGACCAACTGAGGAAAGAAACTTACATAGTCCTTCTGATAATAGCTGACATTGCCTACTCTCATGGAGGATGGCAATGCAGAATCGTCGATACGAAAAGCCGCGTTTGCAACGGTCGTGAGCCAAATATTTATGTAGTTATGAGTCCATGCTTGTGGCCCGAAGGTGTAGTCCCAGATTAGTTTTTCATTCTCAAAGAACACGACCCTTTCCTCGGTCCAGAGTGCAGAGTAAAGGTTCCATTCGGTTATATCCTTGCCGGGCCGATGAGCAGAAGAATACCCACGGGCCCGGTTGCCATTCCCAAGCCAGAAATTCATATTGTTAGTCGTTTCCTTGGGCTTGCTTGTTTCAATTTCGAAAATGTCAATTTCAGTATGAGTGTTCGTGTATACTGTTTTCGAGCCACTAGTCACTCTCATTAATACGTGATGCATTGTGTGGGACAGCAAGATGGAAAGACGTACTTTCCGCACATCAGCCAAAAGGCATTGTGCCAGCCGCCGCCCTTGTTCAGGTTCACATAGGCCTCAAAATAGCCGTAATGGAAGTTTGGGACCGAGATTAAACCACCGGCAGTGCTGTACAGAGAGTAGACTTCGTTAGAGAGCGTCATGCAAGCCACATATTCACATGGATGCATACTAATTTAGACCCTGGTACCTTTCCTTCTTCTGAGTGATGATGATTGCGCCATCTATCTGCTCAACATTCTCCTTACGTTGGTAGCTCGCCAATCTCGGGCCTGTGCGATAATTCCACATAGAAGTATCGACAGCGTTGCCATCAAACTGATCGGACCACGCCAAAGTGTACAACGCACAGCGGGTACCACATGACTGGGCGCTAATCGCGAGAGGAAAAAGAAGAGATAGAAAGATCGTGTAGGAAAGCATTGCGGAAGGGAAATACGACTTGTTTCCCAATGCAGTGCTACGTACTTGCTCCTTTCGATTGTCGTTGCAATCGTGCCTCCTGTGAACCAAGATGCCAGATATATATATGTAAGGGCATTCGGGGTCTAGCCAGGATGCTATGCGGGGATTGGCAAGCTTGTCGATCCGGGGCAATGGAGCCTTCTGGGGAAGTACCACCGCAGAAGAGTCAACGGCGGTCCCGGCTACAGTGGTCTTGCGGGCGGCGGGTCCGTTTTCCATCTAAACAGTCGTGGGGTGGCCAAACAGCGAGCTAGTACACACCACACGGAATTTATCCAAGCGATTCAACTCCCCCTGAGGCCAGGGAGATGGAAACTAGACTGTTTACAGAGGAATGGAAATATGGGGGTTCGCCAAATAGGGCAAATCGTAACATTAGTGCCAATATGTAGTCCAGCATGTGCGGTCTACACCAAATTTTCAGCCTGCCAACTCACTCCGTCTGATATCGGGCCACAGACTTCCTAGTTCAGCCCCCACCGGACAAGGGCCCCTTGAGAATCTGCTGCTTGGCCTCTGGACAGAGCGGAAGTTCCGTCGGTGTTGGAAGATCTAGTCTCCTCGTGTTCACTTTGGGGCTTGGGTGTTGTCGGATGATTTGTGATCAGGGCCTCACTGGTGGTACGTCGCTCCCCTGCAATCAACCCAAATCCACCCCGTCTTCCATCGGTCCCCACAACCAGAGCTTTTCGTAGCGGACTGAGTTGCTCATTCCGCTGCATCGGTAAGCGGGGTGGCGGCAATAGCATCATCAGTCATACCTATTGAAGGGCAGGCATGATCTCAATGAGCCTCAGGAAACAGCAGCACTTGGTAGTAATTAAGCTGTGTGCTTCAAGTAATGTCTGTGGGCTGGAGTACCCCACACTTTAGACATCTATCAATCAACACATTGCTGCAGCTCATTATCGTTTACCTGACCTTTGGCCCTTTAAGCACGCTAATAAGTACGACAATACCTTTGAGCAGAGTTTTATCATATCCAATAACAACCGACCAACTCTCCCCTGTAAAAGTTCTTTTTTCCCCGCAGCTGTTGGCATTTTGCTAGTGGAGGGGCATTTTCCAGGCCACCCGACCACGCTTTTGCCTTCAGGGTCCCATCGGGGCCTTAACAGGCACAGAGCAAGACCTTGGGAGAGTTCATCTTCCTCTGCAAAGCTGGTCTCAACACACAGCCGGACCTCGCAACTGCATTCAGAACCAAGGTAGACCGAGATATTGGAGGGTGTGCAACGCCCTCCAAACAATGACCCTGGTTGCAGAGGTTTTTCTCCCTGAAGGCAAGCTGCACGCCAGCCTCTGATCCCTTCCGACGGTTTTTCCCTACCGCCACACGTTGGTCATTTCTATTACTCGGTTACTGGGGGGTAGACTGCGTCTGCAGCTTTGACAAAAATGAGAGAGAATTCTGACCGGTTGAAAACCATGGGTTGACCACCCACGCCTGCACATCCCGCTGATGGGGCACCTAACAGGCTTGACACAGAACGCCTTTGAGCCGATGCCATGCTGGATG